GAGAGAGAGAGAGATTCCTCGCGGATGGGGAGAGGGAAGGAATGCTCGAAGAGGATGAATTTAGTAATTCAGCTACCGCCGGTGGTTTATCGTGGTGAAACAAGAAGAAAGAAGCAATGGTATGAGTAATGGGGAGGAGGATGGAGAATGCGTAGGAAGAGGGGTGGAAGGGAGAAAGAGCGTTCCAGTTGGCACGTAAAAATAGTAGTAATCTCGATTTGGTTTCGCCAATTCAGAAGAAACAACTGTTTCCCGTTCAATCCTGGTAGTTTCTAGAACTCTCGTCAAGAAACTACTCGATTCCGTCTCCCCCTCCCCCCCCCCTTTCATGCGGTTTGAGAACGAGATAATTTTTGAAGTTCTCCCGATCGATTCGAAATTTTGAAAAATTTTAGGCACTTACCCCTTAACGCGTCCGCCGTTGTCGCCAAAAGGCCTTGCAAACTTCTGCTGTGATGATGGATCAAGTCGTGAAAATCTGCCCTGGCTTGATGTCTCAGTTGTTCTTCGGTGTCCCGGTTGCAGCACATGCCGTTGCAAGTTGCTGGAATAAAATTTGAACGATTTTAATCCAGCAGTTTTCAATACATCTTAAAAAGTTTGAAATATAGACAAAGCTACATATCTATAATCGCAAGATTATGATACAAAATTCAAAATTACATTATTCGTAAATAAATCTTCTCTCCAACAATACGTGATAAATTAATTTACGCAAAGCTTGTTACAAATTGTATATAAATAAAAAGAAAGAAAGAAAAAAAATCGTAAAACAAATTCTTCTCGTCGAGGAGTACGCGATAGAGAAAAACGATTTCAATAATCGTTGCACGTTTCTTTCCACGGGCCAATTCGGCCGTGACGCGAAAACAGCGTGAGAAGGACATCTTGCGGCCCGCCACCTCTCGTACAATTACGGAACGAACGAGGAATCGCTCCGGTAAAATACGATGGACTAGCATCTATGTCGCAGGGGTCGTGAACGGACAAATAGAACGAGGCTAACGGGATCCTCGAGAGGTCCTGGCTGGTCGTTTCGACGGCTCCTTTTCGCCCCATTCTATAGTTTTCATCCGTCCTCCACGTTCCAGTTGCCACCACCGATCGTTTCGCTTTACGGTAAACGTAAAGCGCAATGCGCCCCATTTTCGCCCTGCATGTATGATTTCATCGATGATCACTCCGCGTCGCGTTCGAAGCGGAGAGGTTGGTCTGCTTTCGATTCTGGATATATCGTTATATCAGTTATGAGAAACGTTGCGCTTTTGAGAACGCATTGAGAACCTCGAGGTAAAGAGCTTTATCTTTGCTTTGATCAATCTTAAGGTTGATAAGAATATTTATATTTCGTGGTAAACGAGACGTTTAATAAGATATTGGATTGATTAAAAATTATTTATCGAATGAAAAGTGTTTTTTCTTTTTTTTTCAAAGAATTTAAAAAATTTTGTCAAAGTTAAAAAAACGCGACAACAAGATAACACGAACAACAATGCTAAGCGTATTGTAATTTAATTAGACTTGATTAACATTGCACGCGAGAGAAAAGAAAAAAAACACGAATTAGTTTTCATAATCGCGATGCGCTTGTAGATTTGAGAAAAAAGTTGAGTTTATTGTTCAATTGTCGACAAGTGGAATCGTGAACGAATTTAAATTTAATTTTCAGCTAATGACGGAACAAAATTAATCTACAATTTTAATAAAGATAACGGACTTAATTACGTACAAGGTAGAGTAGTTAAGTTTATAAATATAAATATAAAAGTTAATTATATATGTTGATAAGGAAGATATGTTGATAGCGAAATAATATACGTTTAGATAATAAAAATGTTTCAGTTATAAAATGACGTGTAGCGTAACATTGTAACACGCATGCACCTATCGTTACAATATTCGCAAGGACGAGCACCAGACGGTTCTCTCAATTTAATTTCATTTAGGGCCACTTAAACGGTCGCGGTGCAACAACCGCCAAAATGCCACAAGACGACCGCGCACAACGTTCACGAAATTAAAAGACCAGATTGTAACCCTCCAAATCGCTTTTGTTCGAGGTATTAAATTCTAACCATTTGTCACGAACTAAAATCTTTTCACCCTTCATACATCCTTGTAAATATCCATGTAATAAATAATTGCTAGAATAAAAAAAAGATATCAAAATAAACATTTCATTTTTGATCGTGTTATGTTCGTTCGTTTTACAACTTTACGATGCGTGTCGGAAAAAAAGAAAAAAAATTATCAATCAAATTTTACAAATTTCACACAACTTT